TTTCAAGCGGCCCCAGGGCCTGGCTGGGACCCCGGGGAGGCCGCAAAGGGCCAGAAACCTCCCGCTTGCATTTTTTAGCGGGCGAAGAATGGTATAACATTAACTTTTTCGTCGCCAGGGGCGCTGCCCCAGGCCGGCTGGAGAATTTATAGCTTGACGTGCCATTGTAAGGATATAAACTTTTCAGCCGCCCTGCGACAGGCGCGCCCAACAGGGGGCCTGAAAACCAGCGTCTCATGACGAGGTGTTCGCCAACGGTCCTGGGGCCCGGCTAGGGCCCCGCGACGGCCCGGAGAAAGGGCAGAAACCTCCCGCCCGTCATTTTGTCCACGGCGCGAGCGAGGAGGGGGAGGAGGAGGAGGAAGAGGAGGAGGAGGAGGAGGAGGAGGAGGAGGAGGAGGAGGAGGGCGGAGCATGACTCGGGTCTACGGCGGCCGTCGGGGAGGATCTGGGCACCCCTTGGGAACGCTCTCGGCGAGGCGCAGCTGCAGGAAGGCATCCCGAGGCATTGGAGAACCCCCAGGAGACGACGAAACCTTGTGGACAAAAAAAACGAGGGAAAGAAACAACATCACGAACAACATCGAAGGGCCGACACGATCCCAGACACGGGGTCCCCAGAAATCCCGACCCACTCCCCGGGGCAAAATCTTCGCCCCGAGCTGGTTCTTGCTGGTCCAGGGTAGGGCCCCCCCCCCGGAAGCCGAAAGACCGGCGAACCACTGCCCGAGCAGATCTGTTTCCACAACGCGAGCACGTCTGAGGAAAAGGAAAAAGAGGAAGGAGGAGGAAGATCATTCAACAGAGTTTAACATCTTACAGAATCCTACCTCTACCGTGCAGAAGGGACCTGGCGAGGCCCAGGAAAGATTACCCCATGTGTGTTTCCACAACGCGAGCACGTCTGAGGAAAAGGAAAAAGAGGAAGGAGGAGGAGGAGAAGGATCACAAAACAAGGTTTAAACATCTTAGAGAGTCCTACCTCTACCGTGTAGAAAGGACCTGGCGAGGCCCAGGAAAGATTACCACATGGGTGTTTCCACAGCACGAGCACGTCTGAGGAAAAGAAAAAAGAGGAAGGAGGATCAGGATAATTAAACAGGATTGGACATCTTAGAGAGTCCTACCTCTACCGTGTAGAAGGGGACTGGCGAGGCCCAGGAAAGATTACATCATGGGTGTTTCCACAACGCGAGCACGTCTGAGGAGAAGGAAAAAGAGGAAGGAGGAGGAGGATCATTAAACAGGATTAAACATCTTACAGGGTCCTACCTCCACCGTGTAGAACGGACCTGGCGAGGCCCAGGAAAGATTACCCCATGGGCCTGCCCGTGGTCGGGTGCTGGCCCTTCCACAGACGATTCAGGCGACCCTGTGCACTGCCCTGTGGCACTTGCACTCGCTATTGCTGAGATTCTGCCAACGCTTCTGAACGTAGCAAGCACAAAACCCGGCAGAAAGCATAGCGTTGGAGAGCCTTTCTTTATGTTCGGCGATGACAGGCATCGGGGGGGGGGGGGGTATGACGTAACGCTCCCCCCGCCGTGTGGCTCTGGCACCACAGCCGCGCCCGCGCGCACGACGCGACGAGCGACAAGCGACGACGACGACGCGAGCAGCACGTAGGTGGCGATCTGCCCTCCTGCGCCTGTGTACACCACAACGCTCGCGTGCACCACAGCGCGCGTGTACGCCACAGCGCGTGCGCACATCGCAACAAGCGTGTGCAACGCAGCGCCCGTGTACACTGCAGTGCTTGCGTACAGTACAGCGCCGGTGTACATGTGCACAACGGAGGCAACCATGTGCAACACAGCGCCTGTGTACACCACAATGCTTGCGTGCACCGCGGCGCCTGTGCACGCCACGTCGCCTGTCTACACCACAGCATCCGCATGCAACGCAACGCTATTGTACACCACAATGCATGCGTGCGTGCATAGGACAAGTAGAAGGAGCCTGTACGTGAGGATATGATGCGGAAGCGCCACGCCAGCAAAGTACTGAGAATCGAATGCGGCGTTTTTCCCTTTCCCCTTCTCCTCCAAGTCCAATTCCTCCTCCACATCCTCCTCCTCTTCCTCCTTTTTGTCCTTTTCCTCCTCCTCATCGTCCTCCTCCTTAACGCCTGTCGTGCGCTACAGCGCACGTGCGCAACTCAGCGTGCACCGCAGAATGGTTCATTGAATCGGCCCGTTTGGTTGTCGGACGGCCAATCAGCTGGAGCCTCTTGGACGCTGATGGGAGGAGTTACGGTGATGCGGGCGAACTCGGAAGGACTCCTAGATTCCGCTGGCGCTCCCTTGTCCATGAAGATTGTTTGTGTTTTCGGTGGAATCCAAAAACGCTCCATCTTGTCATACAGATTCCTTCTAACATTCTACATGCAACAGTGGTGTTGTGTTGCACGCGGTTGCTGTGGTGCACACAAGCGCCGTGGTGTACACAAGCACTGCAGTGCACGCAGGCATTGTGGTGTACACTGCTGCGTTGCACACGTTTTATGCGGTGTACGCAAGCGCTGTGGTGTACACAAGAGCTGCTGTGTCCGCGCGCGCGGTGGCACAAACTGACGCGGTGTTGCACGCGGCTGCTGTGGTGCACATAGGCGGTGTGGTGTGCACAGGCGCTGTGGTGCACGCAGGCACTGAGATGTACACAGGCGTTGCGATGCAGATCGCCACCTGCATTCTGGTGCCATCCGTCCTCCGTCATTTCTAAGCATTCCCAGGCGCCGCGGGCGCCAAGCGTGACGTCATCGACCCCCTCCACCCCCCCCCAGATGATTGCCGCCATCGGCCCGGAATAATAATATTAAGAAACAAGCTCCAGGCCGCGTCCGCGCGCACGACGACGATGAGAGTCGAGCGACGAGCGACGAGCCACGAGCGACGACGACGACGTCGACGACGACGACGACTGCGGACCAGACTCCTATGCGGATTCCTGCGCGGACACCTACGCGGATCCCAATGCGCACGGCGGCAGTGCCTGGAGCGCACTGGTGGGGGGAGCGTTACGTCATAGGGGGGGGCGGGGGCCATGACGCCCGTCATGCCCCAAGCAATACAAAAATATATCTTGCCGAGCCACGAGCTGGTGACGGCTTCTTCGCCAGCTCGGTTCAAAAGGCATTGTCGGGGTCCGCTCCCTCTGGAGGCCCTCCAGGCCTGGCCAAGTGGCGCCCGGCCTCCTCAGAGGCCCCGTCCGCTTCCCCGACTCCCCACGACGCTCCACGACCCCCGCACCCGCCCCACTAGTACTCGAGGCCTGCAGCGGTCCGTCCTTTACCACGTCTACTACATCAGACGACAGCGCTAGGATTTCGGCAATCACTTGCAAAATACTCTGGGCTAGCTGAAACTCGCACAAGTATTTCTCTACTTGCCATTCGGGGTACACTAGAAAGGCTGCTCCTAGCGTGGCTCCCCTGTCGGCCGCCCTGTTGCCCTGGAAGTGTTTCGTGCCCATAGCCTGACGCTCGGCCCCTGTGGCATGGACCTGCATTTTTCCAATCTGGGCCATCTGAAGGGACCAATCCGCCTATTTCCTGTACTAGGTGCCAAGCCCATCTCCATTGGCTGGCATGCGGGTTCGAGCAGCGAGTGCACCATTCCCTCCCGCGAGCAAAGCCGTCCACAACGTTTTTGCAGTCTGACCAGATCCTGGGCGGCACCCTTCCAGCCTGCAGAACCATGCATGCTGCGTGCTACTCAGCACAGAAAACTGACTGCTCTGCTTGTGGTCGCGGCATCGGCCCGTGCATGGCGAAGATCTGTTCCCCGCTGTCAGCGACTTGCGCATAGCACCACCCCGCACGTCTGATGGGGCCGTGCTTGCCGTGCAACTGTGAGCCATCAGCGTAGACATCACCAGTGAGGATGTCTGGGGATGTGCCTATCAGCGTGGCTCGGTCAGGGATCCCTACGTCTGGGAGTGCTGTGCTGGGGTCCTGCACGATGCCTGGACCCCAGCGGTACTCGTTGGCAACTGTGGGTGCGCTGGTGTCCCCAAGCTTCTGCACTTCTGGGTGGCCCGCTTGCTGTCTCACGCTCTGTCGCGCTGGGCAGCAGTAACAACGATGTTTGTCTGATCCCTCGCCGCATCATGCGGCGCATCTGTTGCTGGCGGCGCCCCCCTTGGCAAAGACCGTACGCGCCCTAGTGCGGTGCTCCGATGCCCGAGCTTTTGACACTGGTCTGGCCAGAAGGGCCCGCACTGGCAAAACCCTGGTAACGCCAGCCTCCGCACCCCAGCGTCGAGTCCACTTTCGCTGGAGCTGCTGTTCACAGTCTTGCACAACCTGCCCGTATAGCCACCATGCGTCGGCCAGGCGCAAATCAGCACTGACTGACCCGATGGTGAGCGAGAAGGGCGCCTGCGATTGCCAGCCCAGCCTGCGAGCCGTGGCCAAACATGCCCCCCCGGGGCCTCGGACCCATGTCCATGGCCGCGGGGACTGCGACAGGCGAGTGCTCCAGCGCTTCCAAGCGGCCGCGAGTCGGTCCGCTAGCGTTGGGTCGTGTACTGCTTCCTTCCAAGCGTTGGCTCACTCCACGATGGGGCCTGCGTTGGCGACGTGCGCGGGGGCCACGCCTTCGCTTAGCAAAACAAGTGGCGCCGGCCGCCTTGCCACGCTGCCGCCGAAAGAGCTCGCGACGGCTCGGCGCAACTGCTGCACTGTTGAAGATGGAGAGCACTGCTGTTGCAGTGACCAGCTTGTTCGCTTGGCCTCCAGCTGGTTTCACTCTCGCAACCACTGTCCCACGACTCTTCCACTTCAGGATTCTCGATTGTACAGCGGACACTCGGCGGTGACGGCCTGCGCAGACAATGATGCCCAGGTGCTTGGCTTGGCTCACGGTCCTGATACCGATCCTCTTGATCGTGGGCTCCATGTCTTTGGCCAGCGCTGTGGACGATGTCAACAACACTGTTTTCCCCTTCTTGCACAGGGAGACTGGCATGTCGAGTTCATTCCCCAGGCGGTCGATGACGATGCTAACCATTCTCGCGCTCTCAGCTGCAACCCAGCGGCGCTCGCCCATGTGCAATCGACAGGTCGTCGAAGAACAGGCACAGCTCCGCGAGGCCATTGTCCAGCTGGTGTGTGTGTGTGTGTCGAGCTCCCTCATCAGCACCCACTTGAGGGCGACTGGTGCGAAGACGAAGCCCGCCACGAGGTCCTGCCAACAGCGCCTGCCCATGGTGACCGCGTCCTCCAGCACCACCCACATGTTCATCCCGTAGATGCGGAGGAGAGGAGGTGGTGGAGGAGGAGCAATGAGCAATGAGCAATGCGCGGGGAGTTCAAATGAGTTGCTCGACTCACACCATGAGACCTGGCAAAGACCTCTGCGCAACCCGACTTAGTGGGATGCGGGTTATCACTCGAAAAGAGACGGGGCAGCCCGCCCTGGCTGGACCAGGAGGAGGGAGGAGGAGGGAGGAGCGAGGAGGAGGAGGAGGAGGAGGAGGAGGAGGAGGAGGAGGAGGAGGAGGAGGAGGAGGAGGAGGAGGAGAGGAGGAGGAGGAGGAGAGGAGGAGGAGGAGGGAGGAGCGAGGAGGAGGAGGAGGAGGAGGAGGAGGAGGGAGGAGCGAGGAGGGAGAGGAGGGAGGAGCGAGGAGGGATGAGGGAGCTCGGGGCCTGTCCGCGTCCACCACCTCGGCGTAGAAGCAGTGGCACGGCGTCCCGAGCGGCCCCACGGCCTCGCGCAGGCTCCAGGTGCCCACGCGCTCTAGCCGCGCCACCTCTCGGCGGGACGGGGAACGGGCCCCGCGCGAGAGGGGGCCCTTGAAACTGCTCGCGGCTTTCCTCGGGGGCGTCCATGTGGGAGCAAGGGCTGAGAGCGGCTGACACATGAGCAGACATAGGGGGCCGCATGCGAACCCTGCCCCTACCCCCCACGAGGTGAACCCCACCCTCCCCCTCAGAAATCGTGGGGGGTAGGGGTAGGGTTCGCATGTGGACCCCTACAGGGCAGGTTTTAATACATAGGATTCTGAAAAATTATGGATGTCTAATACATGATTAATTTATGAATGAATTTATATATGAACTCCTCTTTGTGTTTTTAATACTAGATCCCTGCATGTTTAATACATGATGCGCACGCGGAGCATGTATTAAAAACGGCACTGTAATAAACACCTGGAGGTCCGCGCGGACTCCTCGGATCGGCGCTGGGGCCCCCCTCGCGGCGCCTCCGGCGCCGTCCCTGGCGCGCTCCGCGCGCCAGGGAGGGGGGTCCAGCGTCGATCTGAGAGAAATGTGCGTCGACCTCCGAGTTGTACAGGGCAGTTTGTTTTTATACATCGGATTTTTAAACATAGGAGATTTTTAATACATGACTATTATGAATACATGTATGCATGAACTCGTCGTTGCTTGAAATACTAAATCCCTGCAATTTTAATACATGATCCGCACGCGGAACATGTATTAAAAACGGCACTGCATGTTCATGTGATGATTTGTCCCTCGACGAGGACCTCCAGCATGCAGGTGGCCGGACGGCATATGGATGCGTGCATTTGCGAACCTGCGTGCGTAGGGCTGAAATCGTTGTGCTCGGTCTGTTGCCAGTGAGCTGCCCGTGATCTTCCTCCCGTGTCCTGTGCAGGACCGGCCCTGAAGCCGTGCGGGATCTGTCTGTCTGGTGGGCGTTTTCTTACTCGGCGTTTGGACATTGGGCGGAAGGGTGGGGAAGGGGGGGGTCTGGCTCCAGTGGCTCCAGGCCTCTGCTTAGTGCGACTGTTTGCAGCAGGGCGTCCATCATGGGGGAGACTCCACCTGCTCGAAGCAGGCGCCAAAAACAGCCAAGATCTACTCCACATGGGGGAGGGGAGGGGAGGGTGCGAGGGCCCTCGCCGATCGGCAAGACAACGGGTAAAAGAACGATCACCTGTTGTTCCTCGAGTCCAGGGGGGGGAGCTACGGGCTCGCGGCCGAGCAGGAGGGGGAGACGCTCCGAGCCAATGAAGCGGGGTGCGGGAGATCTCTGGGAGCGCTCGTGGCCCCCGGGCCCTCCCAGTTGCGGGCCCTACGTGTGGGGCCCTCCACGGGCCACCGGGGGCCGTCGCAAGACAGCTCGCGGGAGGGAGACCGAGGTCCAGAGCCTCGGATGCTCAGTCTGGGGAGCTTTCTGGAGACACTCGCTCCACTCGTGCGTCGAAGCTGCGTCGAACGTCCGTCGATTTGAGCCGAACTTGAGTCGAATGTGAGTCGAATGTGAGTGGAACCTGAGTCGAACTTGATTCGAACTTGAGTCGAACAGATCCGTTACGAGCATCTAAAGAGCCCGCTTCCCTCGGGGCCCTTTTGTCCTCCACGGCGCGCCTTGTAGCCCGCCTCCTCCAGGCACTCCTCGCGCGCAATGTCCTCGAGCGACATGCCCGCCTTGTCGGCGAGGCCAGCAACGACCTCGAGCGTGAAGCCGCACCCAGCGAGGCCGCGATCCTAGAAGAAGAACAACGGTATGACCACATTATAGTGTCAGAGATGCACGCGGATGTAGCGCCGATCCGCAAAATCCGCACGCACCTTCTAAAGCTCCTTTTTAAGCAATTGTCGATTCCCCAAGCAACATCGGCACGAAGTCGGATTCCAATCGAATGCGCCGCGTCAGGATTCGCAACAGCGCCGCGCAAGCCAATGTTTGCATGCGCACGTACACCAATCATGCATCGGACCTCCGTAAGCTCGTACTTCTGCATACCACGCTCTGCTTCTTCTTCTTTTTCTTCTTCTTCTTCTTCTTCCTCTTCCTCGAGGTCCTCCGCTCGACTCGCCAGCCAGCAGGCCGGCCGGAACTGCCTGACGAACACGAAGCGCCCCCGCGTGGCGTTGAAGATCAGCACGAGCGCCGCAGGCTGCGCCCGCACCGCGTGCCAGGCCCGCTGCACGCCGTCGAGCTGGAACTTGAGCTCGCACAGCTGCAGCCAAGGCGACGGCGCGGCGAGAGCCGCCAGGAAGGAAAGGGGTCCCAAGGGACATGATCCCCCGGGGTCGAGGCTCCATTCACGAGCGGCGAACACACCTCTGCCCGCGCCCTCGCGGTCTGGACTCCAGGGCGCGATCCCGCGGATACGCGGTCGCGCGGATCCGTTCCGCCAGGGGGGTTCGCGGAACCACGCCCCGACCTCCTGGCGTCGTGGACACAGCCACGACCGAGAAGAGTGTCCGACGTTTCCGGCCCGCGAGGGCCGCTGCCGGGCCCTCGGGCCGCCAGAGAGCAGGTCCCTCGGAGAGGGTCCAGACCTCTAGGGTTAGGACGGGCTTGTCCCCCTGGAGGGGAATTTTGGACGAAAAATGAAAAATAGTCAAACATTTGCCCTAAAATACTCCAAAATGGTAAAAACAAATCATCCCCAGACTATTGTTTTACTATTTTGGGATATTCCTCCTGTAGAGGGACAGGCCCGACTTCATTCTAGGGAGCCACGCTGCCCGAGAAGGACGTCGGAGGCCCTGGGGGATCCCCAGGTCCCAGGGGCTCCCGGAGCGTTCTCGCCGCCACGGCTGGCTTCCCTTCGAACTTCTGAGGCCGAGTCCATCTCAGGACTCCTCCTCCTCCTCTCCTCCTCCTCCTCCTCTCCTCCTCCTATTCCTCCTCCTCCTCCTCCTCTTCCTCCTCCTCCTCCTCCTCATCCTCCCTCCTCCTCCTCCTCCTCCTCCTCCTCCTCCTCCTCCTCCTCCTCCTCCCTCCCTCCTCCTCCTGCTCCTCCCCCCGAGCGTCAAGAAGCGGGGTCCCGAGGGAGAGGTGTCCTGGAGGTCTTTGGCCGTTGTCTGCCGCCCAGGACCCTGGGCAAGACAGGCGGACTTTGGACGAAAAGAAACACGAGTCAGAGAAATGATCAAAAAGAGTCAAAAATGGTTATGAATCAAAAATCGCTCCCAGACCGTTATTGTAAGGAGCCGAACTCTATACACTGACGCTTTTTGGGGCCCCGAACCGAAACTCGCACAGGAAAGCGGATCCTGGTGAATACGGGGTTTGGGTGTATACATGTTCGTTCTTGCCACGGGAAAACGGGGACACAGATATACACCACACCACCCCGACGTCGTCGCCGACCCTCGAAATGTCTTGGGATTGAAAAAAACAGCCCGCCGCTGGTAATGTATCTGCTCCAGTTTCCGATATTGGACAAGTTTTGAAGAGTCCTCATGCAGAGGGACGTGCCCGACGGAACGGCAGCGGCCTGCGTGCCTGGGTCTGGCCCCTCCACGCCGCCAAAGAGCCGCGCACCAGGAGCCGAGCGGGAGCAGGGCCCCTGCGCGCAGCAAGACGCAAGACAGGATAGGTATCGATGAATCGATCCCGATCCCCAGCGGCGTGGCCTGGGCCCCGGTGACCGATTTACCAAGGGCTCCCAACTTCGCGCTTCGCGCTGCGCGAAGCGCGAAGTGCGAATAACATCGCGCTCTCGCGCCGCCTCCCAAGGGAGAAGGGGAGGATGAGGAGGGATCGGAGCCGAACCGCGAAGCGCGAATAACTTCGCGCCCTCGAGGGCGCCCTTGGATCCCCAGCGGCGTGGCCTGGGCCCCGCTGGCCGATTTACTCCCGCTGGCCGACGGTCCCGGGGCCCAGGGCCCCGTAAGCCCGAAAACGACCACAGACGTCAATGACTCGTTTCGTTCATGACTCCTCTCTTACATTGAAGTCGGGCCTGTCCTCCTACAGGCGGATTTTGGACGAAACATTGAAAATACTTAAAAACTCCCAAATGATCAAAAATAGTTGAAAAATCATCCCCAGACTATTTTTGAATATTCCTCCTGTAGAGGGACGTGCCCGACTTAATCTTACATATAAGCGTATAAAGCCTGAAATTGGAGGCGGCCGGGAGAGGGGGGACGAAGCCAAACCTGCGCCAAATCGGCCCCCGGACCTCTCCAAAGGTCCATCTGGTGCAATGCTTCACATGGGATCCGTGCTTGACGGTCCCGGGGCCCGAAAAAACGGCCCCCAGATGCCGAAACAAGCGAGAACCGTCCCGAACCTAGAACATCGAACCTGCCCCCCCTTCCTGCTGACGAGAACCTGTGCTGGGCCTCCTCAGACCCCCAGACGGCTCCAAGTCTGGGAGCTGTCTTTTTGTTGCACTCGGAAGGTCAGGGAAATAATGCATGGGACCTGTGCTGGAGTGCGCTATGATCCGAACTTCGAGGGATCCAGTCGTGCCAACGAGAACGCTCCAGGATGGCTCGACACGGAGGAAGTTCAACCAAAAATCTCGAACCTCTGCGATCCGCCTCCCCCCATAGAGGCCTCCGAGATTGGGTCCGAGAAGATGGGGTCCGAGGATCGCGCCGCATTGCTGATGCATCGACGGTGCGTCGGCGATGCACTGGCGACGTCGGCGATGCATCGGCGACGTTGACGTGGAGAACGTGGAGAAAACCGCCCTCCACATCGAGCCACAGCGCCGATGCATCGGCGATACGGCGCGATCCTCCGACCACATCTATGAAGGGGCCCTGGGACACAGAAATAAATAGACACAAATATCAGGATTCCTTATATGTTCCTGTATATTATGGGTTGTTGTCTTCCCCCCCACTTTCCCAATGTTCACATATTTTCTGCGGAATCGACGATTAATTGTGTCCCTCCTGAATCTACTCCGACACCAGTGGAAGGCCTGGAATCCAAGAACCTGGGGTCAGAGATGGTGTGGGAGGGGACCCGGTGTCAACTGGAACCCTTCCTGTTGATGTTTCATGTCATGTCATGTGTCTCTTAGCACAGTGATTCGCAGTAGTATAGCAAGCAGTGCGTTTCATTGTTGTTGAACCGCCGCTGTTTCTTGATCGAGGGGCCCCTGAGTCACGCAAAAGGTTGCGTCTTACATTCTTTCGTCACGACGAGATTATTCGCAGAGAGCCCGAGATACTACTGAAAATATTCTCCGAAAGAGCCCGTGAAGGACTCAGTGTGCATTCATCGGTTGATATTGGTAGCGGAGCAAGCGGTCCGCCCCACCTGCTCCCCCGTTTCCAGTCATGCCGCCGGCGCCGGGCGCCGCGCCGCCAACCTCGCCGCCAGCGACACCGCCGACGAGGAGAACGGGTGCGAGATCCGCACCCGGGGCTGCAGCAGCTGCCCCAGCCGCCGCGGCCAGTTCGCGGGCCCAGGCGGCGGACGGGACACAGATCCCCAGCAGCGTGGACGAAGCCAACTACGCCGCCACGCTAGGAGAAGAGGACGACAGCTGGAGCCGCTGGAGGGGCGGCGTTTGGTGGATCAACAATGAGAACGGATGGGGCTTGGGAAGAGGCCTTGACGCAGGCCGGAGCAAGACTGCGCCCAGTTTCGAACTGCTGCACAGCGAGGGTTATAAAGTTTTCCGCCGCTGGCTCCAGGTCTTCGAGAAGTGCTGCCGCAAGAGATGTTTTCACGCCATCAGCGAAGGCGCCTATATGATCATGACCTCGTTGCAGGGCGAAACAGCAGAGGCTACGGAAAATATCGGCCAGGACTTGCTAGAAACAGAAGATGCGATCCAGCCCATCATCAAGGTGCTGGACGAGTACTACAAATACGATAATCAAACCGAACTGCCGGCTTGAACCGACATCTTCTTCGGCAAGTTCGCACGACAGGAGAAAAAGAGACGCCGAAGCTGTATTGCTTACGCCACCAGCAAGAGCTGCGCAAGCTGAAAAAGGTCGGGTTGGAGATTCCTGATCTGCTGGCTGGCTGGCACCTCCTCAATCGAGCCGCAATACCACCGAACGGAGCCACCCAGGTGCGCAGCCAATGCGGAGACGGTCTCGGCTGGCTGAAGGTTCGCAAGGTTCTGCTCGACACGTACGGAGCGCTGGCTACGCCTGACAAGCGCGACGTGAAGAGGACCAAGCGGATGCTCACAAGAAGCAGCGCCACTGCGGACGAAAATTACAAGAACGACTATAAGTGGGAGGGAGATATCGCCTACGAGGATTCGTACCTGGGTGAGGACGGCTATGTTAAGGAGGAGGACGACTACCACTACTACGAGGATGATGACGGTTACGGGTACGAGCACGACGACGGCGACGGGACTGAGAACGTGCCGCCATAGATCGAGGAAGCGCAGGCTGCCTGCGACGAGGCGCACGTCAGCTTCGTCGAGAGCAGAAAGCACGTGGCCGAGATCGCCACGTCCCGAGGCTTTTACCCGATCGTTGCCCTGGCCCCCGACAGCGACTTCACGCGCGAGCCGCGGTCGACGCTCAAGGGCAGCGGCAGGGGCAAGGGCAAAGGACGAGGCAAAGGCAAAGGCAAGGGCAAGGGACCGCCACGCTTCCCTCCTCGCGGAGACCAGGCGTTTCCGCGTTCGCCTGCACTGGCCCCACCGACAACGCCTCCGAGGCCGAGCACGTCGGGATCGATTCAGCAGCGCGGTCCTCGATTCAAGCGCTTTCGAGCTGGAGGCTTCGTGAACAAAAATGAGGAGTCGCACGTGGTCGAGGACGCGGACGACACTGCGGACGCAAAGGACCTCGACTTTGCGAATACCACTAAGGAGGTGAACTTGGTCACGGTCGGCAAGGGCATCAGCGATGGAGGAGCTACTCGACCTGTCATGGGCGACCAGAATTGGCGACAGCGGGAGGAGTACCTGCGAGCCAAGCAGCTCATCCACGACGCGAAGTACGAAAACAGCGACCGCAGGTTCAGGTTCGGCGGCGGCAAGACGCTAGATGCTAGATGCCAGGCAGAAGGTCACGCTCGACGCCTAGCCCTTCGGCGCGAGGAAAGAGATCGCCATCCCCCTGGTGCCTGGGTGGGCGCCGCTCCTCATCGCGAAGCCGCGCATGGAGGCGCGGGGGCTGGTCCAGGCCTATCGCGAGGGCAAGTTCATGCTGAAGGGCCACCCCGAGAAAGGCTGGATGACATCCGAGCGCGACGAGAAAGGGCACTTCATTATCGACCTGTTAGGCTGCGCCGGCAAAGCGCCCGACGACGTCGCGAACATGGGCGCCCCCGCGGAGGGCGAGAGCAGCAGCGCCAGCGACGACTCATCCGATCGCGCTTCAAACGGTTCGGGACCTGAAGACGACGCCGCGGACTCGATCATGGGGGACGCCGACGCGCACTACCTAGAGACGTACGCGGAGTTTCTGGCCCCGGGCGAGACGGACGAGATCACGTTCATAGACGAGTCCGGGGATCCAGAGGACGGCGCCAGGAAGGGCCCGAACGGCATGCCGCCGGACGTCTACTCAGACTTGATCCTCGCAGTGGAGAGCGCCGAAGACGGGATGCGCTCGGTACTGCAGGGCCCTGCTTCGAGAGTCGTCTGGGCGGTTTTCGTGGACCTGGGCCGGCTCTCCACCGAGCTGCTGAACTACCCGATGGTCGAGGTGGCGCATGTCAAGCAGAGCGAGGGCTGGGGCTTCTCGGAGCCGCGCGTCATTCGGCAGCTTCTGGAGGCCATCGACAGGGAGAAGCCAGGCGACATCTGCATCGCCCCGCCGCGCGCCAACTGGCGCACGCGGCAGCGCGCGAGCGCGCCCCTCTCGGAGAGGCGCCAGGAGGCGATCGTCAAGGCGAGGGGGGGCGAGGGCGCCACCTTCCTGAAGATGGCGAAACAGGCTTTCGACAAGCAGGCCGCCGCTGGACGCCATGCGCATGTGGAAGGACCCTTGAGCGGACGTCGTCAGAAGACACAGACGTGGCAAAGGCTCAAGGGTGACTTTTGCAGGTTGGATCAGTGTCGACTTGGAGCCGAGCATGAGATCGACGGAGTGACCGAGCCGCACCAGGAGCCGACAAGACTGCAGTCAACCAACTACGAGTTCATCAGGAACATGAGAACGGGATGCAAGTACAAGACGGAGCGCGCGGTGCTTCGTGGGAAGCTAGCGTCTCGAGCCCAGAATTATCCAGTAAGAATGGCGAAGCGCATGGCATACCTCATCGCGCATCAGGGACGCGAGGAAGACATTGAGGGGGTCGACGAGATCCACGCCACAGAAGAAGTCGGACCCGACTACGACTTGGGCGAGTACAACGACGCCATGCGGGAGCTCACGCAGCGCTACAAAGCGTCCGCCGTGCGAGCCGTCACGCGCACACATCAGCCTGGGGCATCCTTCCAGCGCCGCGCTGGCCACCGCCATGCAGAACGCGAAGGCCTGAGCTGAATGGATCCAGTGCGCTCGGGCATTCCAGTGCGAGATGTGCGCGAAGCGCCACAGGCCACGCTCAGTCCGCGTAGCGGTCCTGCCCAAGGCCAAGCGCTGCAACCAGGGGGTCTGCACGGACGCGTACTACATCATGTTGAAGAAGAAGATGCGTAAGGTCCTAGCCACCATGGGCGAGTTTTCTAGGTACGAGGTTGGCTACCCGATCAAAAAGGAGAAGTTCAGGCGCGAGACGAAACTGCGGGAAAAGCCGTGGATCAGCTGGGCAGGGAAACCCGGCTGCATGCGCACGGGCGCTGGAGGATCGCGCGCGGCAGCCAAGATGCAGATGTGGATGGGCGAGCGCAACATCGAGTTCGACATCACCCCCAAGGGTGCTCACCACAAGCTTGGCCTGATGGAGCAATCGCGCCGTCCGTCGAGAACAGTTGGCCAAAGACCACATGCAGCTCTCCGACGACTCGCTGAAGACGGCCCTGAGGATGACGGCCAGCCAACGGAACGCGCTGAGGAGCGTCAGCGGTTTCTCCGGCGACGCCAGCGTTGGTCGCGCAGCCCGAGATCCCTGGAGCGTTGAGCGACGAGGACTTCGGCTTAGCCAAGCAGTCCGCGTTGACCGACCCGAAGAGCGAGGTGCACGAGATCGCGGTGCGTCGCATGGCCGCGGGCGCTGGCTTCATCGAAGCGAACTGCCCCCGCGCCTTGCGAGCCGCCTTGCTCGCGCGCAGCCGCCCCGCGCGCAGGGACTACGAGATCGGCGAGTTGGCGTGCTACTGGGGGCCAGACAAGGACAGAGCGCTGGAGAAGCGCCGCTGGCACGGGCCCGCGCTGGTCGCGGCCGTGGAGGCGAAGTCCAACGAGGACGAGGTGCTACACGCAGGCGTGGTCTGGGCGACACACGGGCGCACCATCTACAGATGCGGCTTGGAGCAGCCACGACCTGAGCTGGCGTCGGAGAAATGGGGGCGAGAGGCAAGGCCTGGCGACCCGTGCTGCCCGCTCAGCACCATGGAGAAGCTGCGGAAGGCGATCGAGCAGACCGGAGGGGCGTTCCACTTCCAGGGCCTGTGAGAGATGGGCGACAAGCCAGAGTACGACGAGGCTGTGAACGACATGGGCCAGCCCCCAGCAGCCGCCGCTCGCGCGGAATCGGATCAGGAGGCCGGACAACCCGAGAATGCCGCGCCAGCTGCCCCTGCCGCGGGAGGGGAGCCGCCCGACTGCTTCATGCCCGACTCGTCGGAGGAGCCACCGCCAGCACCTGTTGACGCTCGCGCCGAAGAACCAGCCGCGGCCGCACCGGCGAGCGAGCCGACCAGGGCTCGCATCCAGCAGTTGGCCAGACGCAGCGTGGAGGCGAACGGCCGCGTGGGCGGGGCGCCGAGTAAGGAGGCGCGGCTCACCTGGGCGCCGTTAGAGGTCACAGCCGAGAGCGCGAAGTTCATGGAGGACGAAGATGTTGCAGAGTTGCTCTTGCTGGAGGAGACGGCCGAGACCGCGTTCATGGTCGCGCGCAGGCGGAAGGCCCCCCCCCATCGTGGAGGCCAGGCTCTCACCCGAGGACAAGAAGCAGTTCCAGGAGGCGAAGAAGAAGCCCTGGAGGCCTTCAACAAGGACGAGGGGTGGGAGCCCATCAGCGAGTCCGAGGTCGACCCGGCCGCCTGCTGCCCGCCACGGTTCTCGCTGAAGTGGGCGCTGAAGGACGGCAAGCAGGTGGCCAGCGCGAGCGTTCTGCACCAAGGTGTAAAGCATCGCGCGTGGTCGAGGGGCAGCTCGACAACGAGGCACCGCTCCTGAGCCGCCTCGGTCGTCACGCCATCATATCATGCTGTGGGCGACCGTGCGTAACTGGAAGTTGTCTTCCCCCGACGCGAAGTCCGCGTTCCTTCAAGCCGACAACGTGGAATCCCGCGGGTGGAAATTGCACGCCGGCCTGCCAGGGAGATGCGGGAGATGTTGTCACAACAAATCGAACTGGAACCTGGGCTGTTGTTGAAGATGATTGAGCCATGCTTCGGAGACCCGCGGTCGCCGACGCTGCGGCGCTACCGCTCCGGTGAAGTCACCCGGGAGATCGGGTTCAAGAACCATTGGCTCGAAGACTGCCTGTTACTCAGCCTGGGGATCGCGAAGGCCGGCGACGACCCTGTCGACGTCTGCGTGATCGACGGCCAGAACTACGCGGTGGACGGCCTGATCGGGAAGCACGTGGACGCTTTCTTGGGATGCGGAGACGCGAACGCAGTGGACGGATCTGCGCGCGCCCGTGGACGACCCCGAGTCGTTCAAGGTCAGGCTCGCCCTACTTAAACAGAAGTTCAATCTCGGCAAGTGGGACTTCGTTATCGAGCTGATGTTCACGGGTGGCGAGCTGGAGCAGAACGTCAACACCTGCGCGACCACGCAAATACTTGAAAAATACTTGCACGCGGTCAAACCGAACACCGTCGACAAGGTCCGTCGGGCGAACCCGGCGAATCCATTGGCATCGAAGGATCTGACGAGTTTCAGGGCGATGCATGGGCAGCTGCAGTGGCCAGCCGCGCAGACCATCATCATTGCAGCCGCAGCCGTGCCGATTCGCGCTACTGCGACGGGCAACGCCACCGCGCAGGACTTGACCGACGCGAACAAGGCCCTGCGATTCCTGAAGACCAATGCGGACGTCGGGTTGTACTTCGGTTTCGACAAGCCGTGGGGCGCCATGTGGATTGGAGCTCGCTCGGATGCCAGCTGGGCGAGCCGACCAGGCGGGGGCCCGCAAGGCGGTTGCCAGATCTTCATCTGGCCTGCCGAAGAGCTTGAGGCGGGCACACCTCCGCCGATTGTGGTGATGGAGTGGGCTTCGAAGAAGCTGCAACGCCTGTGCAAAAAAACGTTGTCAGCCGAGGCTTAGGCCGCCGCGTTGGGCGTGGACTCGCTCATGTGGGTGAAGATCTACGCGGCGCTCAGCTTAAGGCCCGACCTGACGGGCGACGAGGCGATGACGTACTTCGGCCAGTCCCCGTTCATCACGGACGCCATGTGCCTCTACGATGCCTCGCGGTCAGTTACCGCGGGATTGGGCATCGCCGAGAAGCGCGCCGCCATCGAAGTCAGGATCGCGAACGAACAGGTGAAGGAGATTGACGCGGTCTGGGGGCGGGTCAACACTCTACAGCAGCTGGCCGATGGGCTTGCCAAGCCCAGCAGCCGCCAGACGCCAGCGGACATACTACGACGCGGAGTGCACGCGCTGAAGTACGACCCGAACTTCGCGGCGGGGAAGAAGCTAAGCAAGAGGCAGGTGGAGCTGCGCGAGCAAGAGCTGGAGCAAACCAACGACGAACATGCGGGCAACACCGAGACTACGGAACAGCCGAAGCAGATAGCGCGACGTGGGTACTACGGAGCGAGCGGGAGGAGGCTGGCAGCTACTCTAGCTGCAAGCGCCGCTTCAGGAAGCCAGGGACTCGACACGGGCACCTCGGTTGATCTGGACGGTGGCGCGTGGGACCTCCTGAAGCTTCTCGTGTTTGTGATCGTGCTATCGCTGGGCATCGGGCTGGCGATCAGCTGTTGCATGGGGAGAAAGCTTGGCGCAACGCTGGCCCAGCAGAAGATGGATAACCCCATGGACACGGTACTGCAACTACGAAGTGGAGGAGCAACACGTGACGAAGAAGAAGACGGATATACAAAGGGCACGGACAGTGCCTCACCGAAGACGGGAACGAACAGCGGGACGACAAAGTCGACTACGAGGTCTACCATCCCTGGGGATGTGCCGACGCGTGGGCCGACAGTGACGTCCGCAACCCGAAGGCGCCCAGTTACGACGGCCAAGCAGCCTGACGTGTACATCAGCACGTACGGCGAGAGATACCATTTGTCGGGCACGTGCGCTGGGTTGCGGGGTGCGAAACGTGCGACGCGGTACGAGAGACGCGGGGTACGTTGCGGGCCGCCCGTGAGCGGCAAGTGAGGTTCCCTGCGGTTTGTGGTGTCGAGATGAGAGGTCGAGCCTCGCTTCGGCCGTAAATTAAAGGATTGAGATTTTGTGCCGTGGAGCGTTTTACTCCACGTGCGGACTTGCGAGCTAGATTTGCCAGGTCAAGTTTGTTCCGAGGGCGATCGCCCGTGGAACTCGCGCTTTCCGTGCAGAGTTTCTTTCGTGTTAGGTTTGCTCGCAAGGCCCTTTTCGGTTTTGAGCTTTTTGTTTATGTTGACGTTCCTGGATGACTTACCTTGGACCCCCCGATCTCACGGCTTTCCGCCCGTGTCAACTGGAACCCTTCCTGTTGATGTTTAATGTCATTTCATGTGTCTCTTGGCACAGTGATTTGCAGCAGTATAGCAAGCAGTGCGTTTCAGTGTTGTTGAACCACCGCTGTTTCTTGATCGAGGGGCCCCTGAGTCACGCAAAAGGCTGCGTTTTACACCCTTCGTCACGACGAGATTATTCACAGAGAGCCCGAGATACTACTGACAGTATTATACAAATAGCCCGTCAAGAACTTAGTGTGCTTTCATCAGTTGATACCCGGAGGCCTGCAACCCACAAGAGGGAATCCAAGAACGTAGAGGCGGCTGGGGGGTCCGAACTCTCGGGGGCGCGCAAACATGGATTAGCGACCCATGGATTTGGCGCGCGGTCGCCAAATCCATGGATTGGGGGAGGTGCCCTCCCCAAAATGTGGCTGGTGCCGCCTCGCTCGGCGGCGGAAATCCGCAATTTCCCATGGAAGTGGGACCCGTCGTTAATCCACGCCCCCTTGATCCATGTTTGCGATGTCCTGACACTGGCTGCGGCCCCAGAAAGTCGATCAGGAGGGGGGGGATGAATCCAAACCCTCTCAAACTCGGCCCCCAGACCCCTGATGGGGTCCATATATGTTGCAGTTCCCCCACCCCCAGATCCGTTTTTGACAGTCCCAGGGCTCGAAAACGGCCCCCGGAGGCTGGAAAAGCAAAAGACCTTCCTGACCCCAGGACCTTGACCCCTCTCCTGCTGGCTGGAGCCAGAGCTGTGCCACCTCGGACCCCTAGCGGGCTCCAACCAAGAACCTCCAACCTCCAGAACCCGCCTCCCCCCAGGATTGGGCGCCCGAATTATCCGGGGTAACTCGGGTCCGGGGTAACTCGGGTTTGGATTCCCGGAAAAGGAACCCGAGTTAGAACTGACCCGAGTTATCCCTGATGATTCGGGGCTCTGGACGCCCGAGTTATCCGGGGTAACTCGGGTCCGGGGTAACTCGGGTTTGGATTCCCGAGAAACGAACCCGAGTTATCCCTGACCCGAGTTACCCCTGATGATTCGGGGCTCTGACAGGAGCCCCTCTCCCCCATGGCGGCGAGGGCCTTGAGGCTGACGTGCGTCAGCCGGCCGGCGCAGCCGCTGGCGGGGACCGCCATGTCTGCTCGAGACGCGCCCGCAAGCGGCGCGGGGCCACCGCTGGCGCGGTCACCGACGGCGTGGCGTCGGCTGCACGCAGGAGTGTGAGCCCCAGACATGCCCTCGTGGCCAAAAAAATAGGACGGAGGTGTTTCGCTGGTTTTGGCCTCGGGGAACCTAGCTGGGTCCTGGGACCGTCGAAAACGTGTCAGGATGAGAAACTGGTCCCGGAAAAAAGATCGAGGCTCACGGGGAGCCCGTCCTGAAAACATCAGGACATCGCATGTCTGGGGAGGGACCATTGGAGCGCGGCTTGCGGATCGTCGCCAGCGGTGCGGTAGTGGCGGCCTGCCTGCTTGGACTCGGCCCCCTTGATTTTGTCAACACGCGGTCCCCAAAAGTCCCGACCCTCTCCCCAGGACCGGCTTGTCGTCCCGAGTCGATCTCTGCTGGTCTCGAGGCCTCGTGAAGGCCCCGAGAGCCCCAGACGGCCAAACACGTCCCGTCGCGTTTTTTTTCGCGACGCCGGCCCGCGCCCACCGAAAGCCGTGCACCAAAAACGTCCCTCCGGCGAAGGGTCACTTTAAGTCGGGCCTGTCCCTCTACAGGGGGAATACTCAAAAATACTCAACAAATACTCTGGGGACTATGTTTTGACTCTTTTTGGGCATCTTTTGAACATGTTTGGGGTAGGTTTTTTATTTTTCGTCGAAAATGCCCCTGTAGGGGGACAGGCCCGACCTCAGGGTTACTCTTGCGCGCAGCCGACGGTGGAGCTTCACGGTCCGCGCGGCGCGCCAGGGCGAGGGCGAGAGCGACGCCTGCCCAGCTCGAGCCCGGCAGGGCTCTCTGCCGAGACCGTCGCCCACGACACCCCGGCCTTCCCTCGCCGTTGGCTCCGCTGTCGGCCTCGGCCTCGCTTCATTTCGGGCGTATCCCTCTACAGGGGGGATATTCAAAAATATTCAAAAATGGTCTGGGGACGATTGTTGGAGTACTTTTGGTGATTTTTGAGCATTATTTGGGTTTTTTTATTTTTCGTCCAGAATCCCCCTGTAGGGGGACAGGCCCGACCTAAGCCTCGCTGTCGCGCTCGGTCGATTTTCGGTTGCACTGGCACTCGGGCAGTTGGGAAGGGGGGGCGACCTGAATTGGGCCCTTTCTTTCCACCCCCCACGTAGGCCCCCCCCCCCATGAGGGGCAACGCTAGGGGGTAGGGGGGGACTGGCATAGGGGGGATGCATCGACATGGAATCGGCGATACATCGCCGATAGATCGGCGATAGGCCACCGATCGTGAATCCGCACCTTCCTGGGCAGGTTGGGGCGATCGGGACCCTATCGGCGATCAATGGGCGATTGGGGGTCCATGCATCGTTGCCCCTGACGCCAATACCACCCACCCGAGTCACACGTGGACGGCCTCAGGTGATGCGGCCGGTCGGCCGTCCTCCGTCCCCTGCCGAAGCCGCGGTCCGCAGTCCCCGCGCCTAGCGCGCGCGGCAGAAGTGGCAGTGCTGTTTCGACGCGGGTGGCGCATGCTTCGTCTTCGCCGCGCTCATCGGCAATTTGGCCGCCAGGGAAAAAGGCTAATGTGTGCTCTCGCAGCAGCGCCGCGAGAGGAGGTTCTGAAGGTCCGCTCCCGCCTAAGAGCGGCCCGTGCTTCCCCATCGCAAGATCGACGGGAGCGGGACCGCACGCAAACGTCGCCCTCTCGCTGGGTGTTTACGCGTTCCAGTGCCAAGATCAAGTTATGTCACCGCTGATTCTTACGTTATGGGAGGGATTGTGGGAAGGTGCGTGGTCCGCTGGCTCGTCGACCTGGCTAAGTCGACCCCTGCTCCTACTCTTCCTCCTTGCATCAGCAGAACGAGCGCTTGGCGAGCCCCCTGCGAAAGCGGAGAGACACGGCGGGTCCGTCTAGCGACGACCTGGGCGTTGGTTACAGAAGGGGCCCGACTACAAGAAACCTTCCACAAGAAACCCAACCCTGAGACCCCAGGGCGTCCATCGATTTTTGGTGTGGGAACGTCACGCTTTCCATGGCGAAACCATCGAAACCCAAGAAACCCAGGGCACCCTGGAGGCAAGCAGGGTGGTTCTTGACATGGGCCCCCACTGCACTGACACCGTGTGGGCCATGCAACCTTGAACGATCACGTCCATCCGATAGCGCAGATCGTTCGCTGTCGAACGAATCCAGGCCACGGGCGGCTTTCCACCTGGAACGCCGGGGCAAGGGCCGCCGCCGCGCCACCGCGGCGCCACTCTACCCATACGACCACCAGTGGGTGACAAGGAGGTTGGGGGGTGGGGGAGGACGAGGAGGAGGAGGAGGAGGAGGAGGAGGAGGAGGAGGAGGAGGAGGAGGGGGAGGGGGATGAGGAGGAGGAGGGGGAGGGGGAGGGGGAGGCGGAGGAGGAGGAGGAGGAGAAGGAGGAGGAGGAGGAGGAGGAGGAGGAGGAGGAGGAGGAGGAGGAGGAGGAGGAGGAGGAGGAGGAGGAGGAGGAGGAGGAGGAGGAGGAGGAGGAGGAGGAGGAGGAGGAGGGGGGGTGGGGGGGAAAGCACGGTGTGATGATGACGATGATGGCGACGCGCCCTCGAGTTAGCGACGACGCGTGATGACGATGTTGCGCTGCAGTGTAATGTCACTACCGTCCCCGCTTTCGATCCCACTCGATCGATCCCACTATCGACCTCACAAGATCGATCACACTCGATCGATCTCACTATAGATCTCGATCTCGATCTCGCTATAGATCTCAAAATAGATGCCGCTTTCGACCTTATTATCAGTCTTACTATGTATTCCTCTGCCGATCTATCGAACAACCGCACTGTCGATATCACTACCCATACCAACCTAGCGATATCATTATCGATCTCACTATCGACTTCACTGTCGATGCCAAGGCGGGACATGCCTGGCAACCGCCCGTCCACCGCCGACGGAACATCGACGGGACACCAACGGGACACCACAGGAGACCACGGCGGGACACCCCAGGCCACCGCGCGCCCACGGGGGGCGGAGGGGTGGTCCACTGCATCCACATCGCCCAAGCGACGGCGGGGTCATTCCTCTCGCGCGCCCACGCAGCTTCGCCTCGCACGCATGCACGACACGAACACGAAACCTAAACCGAATTCCAGGTGGGGGGGCTCTCCGTTCCACTGCGCATTCCTATAGCCCTACCACAACATGTTCTTAGAACCCAAACATGTTCTAAAAACACAAATAATGTTATTAGTACAGAAACCCGATGTAACAAAACAAGACAGACTCCGCCAGAAATGTTCTACGAACATTTCGTGGAAACCACAAAAGGTACTTAGAACATTGTTTGGTGGGGCTATAGGCGAGCCAGGACGCTTCGCCACTGCTTGACCCACGCACTTGGCCATATAGGAGGGCCGAGCGCTGGAACGACGCCCGGCCTTGGAGGCGGGTGGGGGGTCCGTGTTGGGTGAGCCACGAGAAGCGAAGGGGCCCTGGGACACACAAATAAATACACACTAATACAAATATTCCCCATATTTTTCCATATGTTCTGGGTTTTTGTCTTCCCCCCCACTTCCCATAGTTTCCCATATGTTTTGGGGAATCGAGAATTCATTGTGTCTGTGTTTTTCCCATCCTGAGAGAAGGCCTGTCAAGAGGAGGGGGGGGGGGGGATAAAAGCAAGTCTGCTCGGAATCGGTCCCCCGGATCCCTCCCCGGGTCCCTCTGGGCCAGTTCTCCATCCACCCCAGGTTCATGTTGTTCCCATCGTACTTACAGATTACATCCCAGAAACACTTTCGAGCACGCATCGAAGCAGTGTCGAACGAAAAGCGCATCCCAGGGCCCAACACGTGCAAAACCACGAGTTTCGGTACTCGCTGGTGCTCGAAATTATTGCGATCAAGGCAAACGTAGGTTGGAACATCATAACCCCAAGTCCGTCTTTGACGGTCACAGCCCGGAAATCGCCCCCACGAGGCAGAGCAAGAACAAAAAAGTGGAACATCACGCGCGCGGCCGCCCCGACAGGGGCCGCCGCTGCGTGCCTACGCCAAAGGGAAATGGCGGCCGCAGTTGGTCGAGGATAGGTGGCTACCAAGCACTCTACTGCCACTCAGGGGTGGTGTATAAAAAACGCCCCCCCCCCTATGATTTTTATGCACCAGCCTGAAATACTCCATGAATGCGCTGATACTTGCGCATAGAAGGCGCGCGCCCAAATGACGCCGCGTAGACGCCATGCTAGCATCGCGTGATTCAACACACCTTGTGACTCACCGCCAAAACAGTAATCCGATCAACCTCCATGGCGAAAACACGGCCCGCGGTGCTGGTGTGTACCCGTGGGCCCTGGAAGCGCCAGCCCTAAGTCCGGCTAAGAATTGCGGGTTCCCGGGAACCCTGCAGCAGAAAACCTTGCCGTCTCTTCGGAGGCCGACTCTGACTTCCGCCGGCCCTCCGCCGGCGGAGACGGCCTCGATTCACTTCCGCCGCCTCCACCGCCGGAGCTCCGCCGGGGAAGAGGCGGCACCTCCTCCGATCCTCGGAGGCGAGGCCCTTGCTGGAACGCCTCACGCGTGCCACGTCGGCGCCGCTGCCGCGTCGACGAGGCGCGACCCTGCCGCGTGGCGGGGAGGGGGGTCCTGCGGCGGCTCCCGCGCCACCAGCTCGAGGGCCTCTGTGCAGCTCCTGCCCGGGCGCCGCGCGGGGCGGCGAGGGCCGAGGGCGGGGCGGCGGAGGACGTCGGACCGCCCGCCCCCTCGCCCCCTCGCCCCCATCCCTGACGGGGACAACATCCAACGGGGATGATCGTCGGGGATCTCTGCTGTCCCGCGGCTCTGGAGAACGCATCGGGCCCCGCGGCACTCCTCCCCCTCCCCAAGTCTCCATGCCTCTCGGAGTAAGTGTGCCGTACGGCTGCGCCCCGTTTACGATCATAGCGGCATGCATTCGCGCAAGTACCTCTCTACACGACAGCAACAAAATGAATACTAAGAAGAATAAAAAGAAGGAGAGCAGCATCAGCAGCAGCAGCAGCAGTAACAACGACAACAACTCCAAGAACAACATCAGCAGCAACAACACCAACTATTGTTACTACTAATACTGCTACTAGTATTACTACTACTACTACTACTACTACTACTACTACTACTACTACTACTACTACTACTACTACTACTACTACTACTACTACTACTACTACTACTACTACTACTACTACTACTACTACTACTACTACTACTACTACTACTACTACTACTACTACTACTACTACTACTACTACTACTACTACTACTACTACTACTACTACTACTACTACTACTACTACTACTACTACTACTGCTACTGCTACTGCTGCTACTACTACTACTACTACTACTACGACTACTACAAATACCACTACGACTACCACTACCACTTTATACTACTTACTTATTACTACTACTACTACTACTACACTACTACTACTACTACTATACTACTACTACTACTACTACTACTACTACTACTACTACTACTACTACTACTACTACTACTACTACTACTACTACTACTACTACTACTACTACTACTACTACTACTACTACCTACTACTACTACTACTACTACTACTACTACTACTACTACTACTACTACTACTACTACTACTACTACTACAAGACTACGACTACGACTACGGCTACGACTACTACTACTACTACTACTACTACTACTACTACTATTACTACTACTACTACTACTGCTACTATTACTACTACGACGAAAACTACAACGACTACCTACGGCTACGACTACGACGATTACGACTACGACAACTAAAACTACGACTATTATTATTACTAC